CGTTTGACCAATTTATAGTTAATGATTATTTGCGGGTTGGATTGAGATTTTGTATAGCCAAAATTAACTTATATAAACTTGGCTAAGTTTTGCATAGTTTGTTTAAATGATAATTAATGTTATAGAAATGAAGTATAAAATTGTTTTTTAATAGAAAGTGCATCATATAATATATATGAAATAAGAGGTAAGTAATTCAATTGATCCAACAAAGTCGAAGCTACTAATTTAAAGGATCCATAACATAAGCATATTGAAACTAAATAATCCGTAACATAAGCATGAAATACATAAACAGCTGAACTAGCGTCGCCTACGTGGCCTCTGTGGCAATGCATCAGTGCCTGGAGTGTAATGCTGAGGCGGTCGTCGTGGCCTTTGACGTAGCATGTGTTGTTCCTCCTCAGGTGCTTCTTCCTCAGCTATGTCATCTGTATGAATCGAGCTCGGTACGAAATCTGGGCTGAGGTATGCTTCCAAATCCGCTGGCACCTGGCTGCTGAAGAGGTCCGTAGAGGGCCCTTGATCAGGATAAGAGGACGGTCCAGCATATCCACTGTACTGGTGAGGAGGTTCCTGGGTCATGGAGAATGGTGCATCATGCTCACCTCTATCCTCAAAATATCCTTGATCTTGAATATACAACTGCCTACGCAAACCACGACAAAGCTCTGCAATTGTATTTATGTCCCTCTGTTGCGGTGTATCATCAGTACCATTGAAGTGTTGCTGCAAAGCTTGTTCAGTACCCAGGAAAAAATCCCTCTGAATTAACAAAAGAGATATGTTAATATTTTGGAAGAAGGAAATTATTTCAAAAAATTAAAGCATATTAAATTTGAACTTACCAAAAGGCGCTCTGAGGGAGCTCTAGGATAGGCCGTTGTTGGAGGCTCGACAGGTGCCTTTAACATGTAAAGTGTTGCCCATGACTTGTACCAGTGTATGTACTGATGAATTGAGTAGGTGTTATGATGGTCCAGTAAATCTCCTGTAACAATGAATCCACGCCTACTCTCCCATATTTCAATATGTGCTCGGTGGTACAACATCCAATCCATGTCAGGTTTCCCACGACCATCTACCCTTTTGAAGCTTGGATCCATTGGTTGGATGTCAATTCGTGGGCATAAGCCAAATTGCCGTAGGACTCTATCCGGCAAGTGCCACTCAACCCTCTTCCAACTGATTACAGGCACTCGTGCAGTCCAAATGTCCGCCCCTGACAGACAAATCTGTGCAACCTGTGCTTGAATATCGGGCGTATATGGTT